GACGATGGAAAAATTCCCAACAAAATAAAAAGGAAATGCATTCAGATCAGAATATTTTTTGCTGTGATGGGACGTTTCAGCTTCGTGCACATATTCCCATGAAAAGTCGACTTTTTTTTAATAGCTCAAAAACTATGCATCTACTAAAGCATCCTAGATGGTAATTCAAAGAATGATTAATTTGCCCTCGTATTTGCCGACGTTTCGGTCCGAATTTGAGATCTTTATCAGGGCTGGGAAAAGAACTTCGGGCCGAAACTTCGGAAAATTTAAAAATAAATAAAATTATTAATTTTTACCATTTCAATTTGACTGACCACCCCAACCATCTTTCTCTTCAATTACCCACTACAGACAACCATAAACCCACAATTATAAATTATAAAATAATTTCTGATGCTAATCAAACTAAAACAAAAAGTGAAACAAATATGAAACTATAATAATCAGGGAAGACAAATAAATGCATTTAGATATTTACTCTTATTATTTTTTTTTTAGAAAAATTAAAACAATCATATTAGAAAACTTATGACTTTCCTAAAAATAAAGAAAGCCAAGTTTTGCAATGTTAATATTTATAACACTTCTGAATATATTTAGTAATATCAAACGATGGTGAATCCATAGCAAAAGTGTGAAATTTTTTACCAATTTTTAAATTTTGATTGAAAATCAGATTTTCAGATCTATAAGGCGATTGAATAGAATTCAGAATGAAGGTGGGACGGATTATGAAGCGACAGTTGAAAGAATGAATGGAGTTTCATAGGGACGAGAATTGGGTGATAAAAGATCCGTTGAATATATATATTCGGTGGGCCTTTGATATCTACATCTGAAGACCAAGCTTTTATGTATCAAGGTTTTTAAGTGATATGTAAAATTTTAATCTGACAGATTGTTCTGGTCAAAATTTAAGTTCTCTTACTAGAAATTGTAAAGAAAGTAGATTACATGGTAAATATAGTAAAATTAAAACTTTTCTTATGTTCTCTGTGACAATCAACTACCCCGCCATACTGGAAATAGCACCATATACTACTGCTGAGTAATGTGGTCGATTCAGTCGGAGCAAACTTCGCCTGAGGGTGAACTATATCAACTGGAGTTGGTGTTCGTACTTGTGAATCTGATATATATCCCTCCTAGGACTATTCTCCAGGTCTCTCTTGTAATAGTAGCACTTCCATTTGTAAATTTGGAGATAATCAAGAAATATAATTCTCTTACAGCACTCAATCAAGTCGTTAATGTAATAACAAATAAAGCAATAGTATCTCTTTGATTACAATGCTTAGGCCAATGGTTTTACTTGTGTTCCAGTTGGCCAAATCGGAATACAATAAAATGAAAAAATGTACAGATAAACGTAGATACAAAGTAAACTATGTTGCATTGCCCCTCTTTTGTTCTTATGAGGGGTCTAAAGCCTAAGTGAATGAACGGTCTCTATAATTCAAAAAGAACTTGTTTAAATAAAAAAGGGAGCTCCTGAGAATTCCCAGGATCAAAACAAAAATTCTACAGCTATATTCAATAGCAATTTAAACCAAACACTGTAACTCCAGCATTACTGAATTTACAAAAACTTATAAAATTTATTTTTTTCATATTTTAGGCAATAATACTTCCAATTTTTTTTTAAAATTAGATTTGTTGTCTCTTACGTTTCGGAACAATTTTCCCATCATCAGAGCAATCTTTATCTTTACTTTCTTTTTTTGATGTGGCACCATTTGTCAAAAATCAAATATTTGTCACATTTTTTAAAACTATTTTTTGATGTTACACATCTTTACATATTCATTGATATACTAATCAACATTGATACATCAATCACGTATCAATGAATATTTAGAGATGTGTAACACAAAAAAATAGTTTAAAAAATATGTCAAATATTTGATTTTTGACAAATGGTGCCACATCAAAAGAAGAAAGTGAAGATAAAGATTGCTCTGATGATGGGAAAATTGTCCCGAAAAGTAAAAGACAACAAAGGTAATTAAAATTTTTGAAGAAAATTGGAATTATTATTGCCTTAAATATGAAAAAATTATAAACGTAGGCTTCCTAATAAAACAAGAAAAATAAGAAGATTATATAATTTAGTAAGCTGGTACTCCCTTAAAAAAAAAAGATTTATTCATGCCAAATCAAGCAACATTTACTCTTCGACGAGACAGCTGCTCACCTGTTAATATCAGCTACAGCGAATACCATACTCCTCAGAGTGATAATGAACGTTACCTTGTTGACTAATATTCGACAGAAGGATAAGATGGGGTCAAACTGAAAAGAAAAACCTCAAACAATCGACTTAAAATACTATACCAACTTTTTCCAGAATCAAGATTGAAAATCAGACAAAAATTAGATACATAGACATATCGACTCAAACATATATGGATATATGTCTCAGATACTTTCGGTTCAGCAACAAAAACATATTGCAAAATATTAAGGAAAATAATACATAATATTATGAAAAATCTTCACCAGATAAGAATTGCTTGCTAAGAGATAATTCTTATAATATATTTCCTTGAACATTCTAATCAACCCGACCATTTCCAATCTTGTATTCGACCAGCTTACACCACAAAATCCGCCATAATTAAAATCATTGGTGATATTCACTCCCCTATAGATGATAAAAACCTAACTGTCCTTGTACTGCTTGACTTTTTCAAAGCCTTCGTACTTGTGAATCTGATATATATCCCTCCTAGGACTATTCTCCAGGTCTATCTTGTAATAGTAGCATTCCATTTGTAAATTTGGAGATTATCAAGAAATATAATTCTCTTACAGCACTCAATCAAGTCGTTAATGTAATAACAAATAAAGCAATAGTATCTCTTTGATTACAATGCCATGGCCAATGGTTTCACTTGTGTTCAAGTTGGCCGAACTGGAATACAATAAAATGATACCACTAACCATACCATTTACAAATTAAAAACATCATCCTTTTCAAACAGCGCTATTCTTTGGTTTCAGTCTTTCCTTTCTCGACGTTCACAAGCTGTCTCCTATCCCTAATCAACCCTTGTTTTCCTACCTTTCTCTATCCTCAGGAGTGGCCCAGAGCTCTAGCACATCACCTCTTCTTTATAGTTTCTATCTCAACGAATTTCATAAATCAATCCTCCATTGTTCCCATCACTTCTATGCCGATGATTCCCAAATTTTCTTTTCCATCCCTCCCTCTGAGTTGTATGATGCGTTTGCCAAAACCTAAGAAGATCAAAATCGCATCAGCGCCTGTTCTATTTCATCCCCGTTACCAATGGCCTTAATTGTGACGGAATATTATATAACGCAATAAAAAAAAGAAGATAAAAATTATTCTTTTACTAAATTATTTTTCGTCCATGTCCTCTCTATGATGGTATTATACTATTCCACATATCAGAAAATACAAGCAAGAAACTAAAACTATAAATTCTAAATTGACATTTTAATAAGAATAGCTAAACCAAATCTAATGAAAGAAAAAGAGACGTCTGGAAAACTTTCTGCCTTACTCAATATATTAGAAGTACAAGAGTTCAGCAAAAGAATAATAATAAAAGTTTATGATTTATTACGATATGTATCACAATTAAAACCATAACATTTCCGTTGGCTCATAGGCATTAAAAAACGGGTTTAAGTTAGATTTAGAAGATAAAAAATAAGATGGATGTGAACTGTATATCTAATTTTTGACAGCCAAAATATAATAATTAAATCAGAATAAAGGTTTGTTCAGAAAAACTTTAAAATTTATCTGAGATACAACAAAAACATATTTTACTCAAGATATTGAAGACCAACTTGCCTGGGGTTATAAAAAAAAATTTAGAGAGTCAAAGTATTCTTTACTGATTGTAAACATTTTATAGACAAACAACTGAAATTATTGCAACGAAAAATGAACAAAAAAGAAAACAAAAAGGAAAGATCAATCATGATTTGAATAATATTAACTGCTGAGCTGTGTATCTTCTTAGCGCACTTTAGGGGTCTATATAGAAATAAATTCTTATTATGTCTAAAGTGGAGCAAAGGTTGAGAAAAGTTAAGGACGGCCCATTTTGCTTCACTGGATATATGTACTTCAGGAAATACGAAGTTCCTTAATTGAATAATGGAATAAAGCAGATACGTTCAAACTTTTTAGAATGATCGAAGTGAAGTATTTAAATTAATGAAACTTAGAATGTAAAAGGGTGGCTACATTGACGTACTTCTTGTGAAAAAGCGTTAACTTGATTCATATGAAAGTAAGGGTTTAGTAGATAGCTTAGTAGCATAGTTTAAATAAAATTTGTAGCTTATGGTAAAGTCTTAAGAAATAGCACAAAGTGAAAGTAGATGCTTATCAATTAGAGGGATGATTGACTTAAAAAGTAATCAAATTTCTAAACTGCGCCTTAGAAAAGTTAAAGTTTTCTTCTGGCCCTTATTAAATAGATTTACGAATCCAATATTTTAAGCACTTTTAAATAATCAAATGGATTTTAAAATAACTTCTTTTCATTGGGAATTTGTTAACCATTACAGTTATTTAAGTTGGCCATCATTTAATGTTTAATCTTCAACTTTGTGATTTACTATGTGAGCTATAAATTTAATCCTTAATCTGATTAACTAATTAAACAGATTTAGTGACTACATCTTTAGCGCTATAGCGAAAGCTTCTCTTAAAACCCAAGATCATTCTATTCCATACATACTATCTTATTCTTGAATCCTTTAGTTCGTTTAAACTTACATGTAATTTATGACCTTACATTTAACAATCTTAACAGGAGTTCCGCAAAGATCAATACTACCTCCTTTATAATACATTATATACACACATGGCATACCTACCACCTCCGAGGCATTGACCGTAACCAATACCGAAGATACATCACTTTTAACAATACATCTCGATCCTAAATAGGGCTCATTGAATCATTTGAATAAAAAAAATCATTTACTATACATACAATCATGGTACTTACTGTCGAAAAGAAAACTAAATCCGGTCAAATCACAGCACACAACGTTTAAACTTCGACGAGACACGTGTCCACCAGTTTTTGTTGGTTGATTAAAAAACGACTGAAGTTGCTACATCATTTCTTTTTTCCAAATCATCAAAACTGATAATCAGACAGAAATTAAATATACATAAAACCTACTTAAAATCCATATGGTATATAACCATATGGATAAAAGTCTAAGGGATTTATGGTTCAGCGAAAAAGACACACTTACTAAAATTACCATCATTCGAACTCCAAATTTTAAGACTACTTGCAGACGCTCTCTGGTACGTGAATAACTAAACTCTACATATCGACTTACAATAACCACTCCTCGACCAACTCATAGGTATTCTTTACTCTCGATTTCAGATTACAGCTTACATACTCATAAGGAGGCGACTGAAAAGGAATTGGATGAGATCTCTTGTTTTTTGATTTAAGGAAGTAAACAAAGTAACAACCACTTCCATAAGAAACATCATGGACATAACAACAGACTGTTAAACGATATGGGCATGCTGATATAAATTTCTGAAAAGAAGTGTTGCTGGATATTATCCTTATCTTAGCCCGAAATATCATTTGCTTGTCTTCGATTGTAAGCTATTGATTGATTGACATAAGCTAATTTTCCCTTTCGCCCGTTACAGGTGTGAATAGAAAAAATAAGAAAAAAAATTATCCTTTAAATCTATATTCGAACTGGTGAATAAAATGTAAGGCATGGTCAATCGCTTTTCGTACTTATTTTATACTAAACCTTATTCCTTAAATTAGGTAAATTATATTTATTTTTTAAATTTTACATTAAAGTAACTGGAAATGAGTAAATATATTAAAATATATAAATTATATTTAATTATAATTTAATTTAGAAATATTACAAGTTACTACAGTTTTAGTGTTGGGGAATAATAATAAGTATTCAGTGCAATGTCCTGTTATGCTTACTTAAGATTTGTTCAACGTGTACATCTTCATTCGAGGTTTTAGTAAAAAACTCAAATTATTTCAGAATTCTAACTTCGATTAGGGACTTACCACAACGCTATATCAGATTCTAGTTTGTCTTTTTGATCTTAAATCATTAATATTATTATTTTCCACTCGTTTTTATAAAAATATAATAATAAAAGTTCAAGACGTACTGTGGCTTTCTTAATGCCCTTATTATTTATATATGACCAGGTATTTACTATTTTAATATTGTTTGAAACTAAAAATAACAATAGAATTTGTTATTTCAACCTAAATAAGGAACATTAGTGTACTATATTTTTCAATTTTCTGGTTTACTTTAGATTATACTTAAATGTATGTTTTAAATTTCTAATATTTTTTTTTTAGTTTTTATTTGGTATTTACTTTATTATTTATTTATATGCTTCATGTCGTTATCTTCTTATGTAAATAACATAATGAAGATATTGTGTAAACTGGAGAAACCGTTATACTTTAATTTAAGAAAGTTCGTTCACCTGGGTCGAAGTTGTTCATCCACTTGGGCGATGAAAAACAAAAGAAAAGGATCGAGAAGGATTAAACCGTGCCCTGTGATGAACTGAGTGAAAAGTTAGATTAAATTGCTTTTAATTTTCTACTTCTTCGTTTTTATTTGTTATATTTTTTGATTTCCGTGGTTCTATTCACCTAATATTTCTTATCCAATATTATGATATAGAAATCATACATATTTTAAACTCATTTATATAAATACATGCGAAATCCCTCCAACAAATTTTAAAAAACAACAATATATTGTGTGCATCCTCGGGTGTTATGAAAAATATCAATTTGACATAAGAATAATCTACAAGTATAAAATTATAAAATAAATTGATAAATAAACATTGGTGTATGGAGTCATAGGATTTTTACATTCAATATATGATTGCCTAAATTATGAACAATGAATTGAGGTGTATAATTCCAAAATCAGCGAAATACATTTAACACAAGTCCTTTTAATTGTTTTTATATACTTATAATTTCATATAAAAGAAATTGTTTCAAACACACACTTAAACTAAATGTCCAGAGGACGGCTTTGCTGCCCATCCCCTGATGATATAAGACAGTGTCTCACGAGGCTGTGTAAATCATAACAGGAGAGATACCTCTCAACCTCCTCCTGCAAGAAAACTTAATCAAATATGCCTATAGGAGAGAAGGCTTGGCAGGGATTCCAGAGGACCTTCGAGTGAGGTTTGAGGAACGGCCCAATAGATGTAAATCAATATTGAGAGAAGCTACCGGCGAAGACTGGAACAGGCGGTGGATCACTACCAATAAGGGGTCTACTTTAAGGAAGTATTTTCTCACCGCACAGTCTCGACTAGCTGCCAGATGGATCAAACCAGACTATTGAGTCTTTCAATTCCTCACTGGACATGGGAGTTTTCGTGCAATGTTACACAGTCTTTAGACATGATATCGATCCCATATGCTCTAGTTGTGGTATCTCGGAAACTGCCGGGCATGTGATCACCAATTGCACTGCGTTTGAGGCACTGAGGGCCAAGCTAATAAATATCACAAATATCTATAGTCTCGATGAAGGAGATTTGCCTCTTCGCGTCGTTGCAGATTATAACTATCCATACTAGGAGACATTCGTGTATGGTTGGAAGAAACAAATAGGCGGAGTTAGACGGAGACTTCCACAGTCTCAATCTGGAGTGACCCCAAGATAGAAATATAGCAAAAAAAAGAGGAATATAACAAGAAAAGAAAAACTTATTGTTGCATACCATCCTTCATACATCTTTGAGCTCCTTCAATACAAATCCTCTGTTCGTTCCCGTAATACTCGTTCCCAGTCTTCTGACTTATATATAAGGGCCTACCGAACCGCTGCTTTCGACAGATCTTTCATTATCCGATCCTCATCCCTTTGGAACTCCATCCCTTCTCACATTCGACAATCTAATACCCTTCCTACCTTTAAATCCCGTCTGTTCCATCATTTCTTATCAATCCAGTCCCCATGAAATTGTAAATAGATACTAATGTAAATATGTATATAAATTATTAGCTCGTTCTTTATTATTTTTACTTCATCCTTTTTATTGAATTTTTAAAATTTTAATTATTAACTGATTAAAATTAAAAAAGTAACTTATAATGTTTAATTTTATTACTATGACTGTTCGATTACTCTGTATCTTTATTTATGTATCTCTGAGGCTCCTTAGCCCATATTTATGTCGTTCTGTATTATTCTAAACGGACTCAAAAATTATTATTATAAGAAAAAAAACAAAAAAAAAAAAAACGGATCCCGTATTGTCGAAAAGACAATGAAGGGAGAAGGAAATAAAAAAAAAAATGTTGTCAAACAGTTTTTGTTAAAACTGTTAATTAAAATAAACAATACCTCAAATTTTGTTGATGGATTTAGCTGGTTTTGGAATTATGTGTCTCAATTGTTGAAATTCATTAGCATGATATTTATAATAATATATAATAATTACATAATATTTATAATTATCAAGTAGTTTTTTTTTCAATTTGCATCACTGAAAATTGTAAAATGTAAGCCTATAATAACTATTTTATTAGGAACTATTTTTTTAAAACACATTTTTTCATCCAGACCTGTCAAAATCGGTTTTCCTTTTCTGATTAATCTTTGCCTCGCACATATTTATGAATATGAACAAAAAAAGAAACTTAAAACAGCATGACTTCATACTATTATTTTCCATTCAATATATAGATCAATTTTATGGCTATGATAAATTGACATAATTGTTTCGCATTCATTTCTGAACATCTCCCAATCCCCAAGCAGCATTGCCCAAGTTATTTAATTCATGATGATCCATGTCTATATTAAGGACACATATGACCTAATACTAAACGATGATCACATTATAACTTTTAATATCCTTTATTTGAATGTATTACAATGAAACATTTTATACCTAATGATACTTTTTTACAATAAGACCCATACTTACTACTACTGTTCGAAAAAAATGTACTTTTTACTAACAAATACTTGCATTCGGTGACTGATCAATCTTACTATGCGAATCATTCGGATAGAATGACTGGTTATCATTATTGATAAAATGTGGCAGATTGCAATATTTAAATAAAAAATACCAATAAAATAAATATCCTAAATAAATCTAAAATTATCTACCATTTTATAAGATAATTAGATATAATAATAACAATAATGATAGCCTTTATTAAACCGTACTGTACTATTTTCTTATTTGCAGAAAAATGATTAACAAAACAAGTCATTAGATTTTAAGGGGGACTAATAAGCTTAAATTTTTAATATTTTTTTATATGGCACTACACTTTTTGGCTGAAACGTTTTACCCTATGTGTAATTTGGATTGTGCTTTTCACATTTCAAACTTAGTGATGAAATTTATGAAGATTTATCCGCTTGGTAGGGTTGAGGATTTTTTTATATAAATCTATTGTACTTTGTTCACAATTTTATAAATTTGTACACACTTTTATGTATGTATAATTTTATTTACCAATCGTCCCTTGTATTTGTAGTTATTGTACCTTGTACACACGCAGGATATACCAATCTGACAACCGCTTACGCAGACGACAGAGCTATTACTGTAAGACACCGGGGTCTCACGCAAGCTTCACTGACCTTAAAGCATCACCTGCAAATGCCACACGACTCATTCCATTCAACATAAGACAGAATCACGACAAAGCCCATCATGTGACATTTATATTTCAAAATTTAATGAGTTAAATACTAAAACTAACTTTGACCGCACGATGTATCAAATCCTTTCGTAACAAAGTAAACTATCCACGTTAAATGCTCCATCTTTGGAAAATATTCATGATTAAAAATTAGATAAAATAATTTATATATTTTTTAACTATAAATACAAATTATTATATATATATATATATATATATATATATATATATATATATATATATATATATATATATATATATAACAGTCCTTAAGTGTTTCCTATACAGGGTGTTTCAGGGTTAAGTGGCCAAACTGCAAACATGAACTAAGGACCTAAAAACAAGAAAAAATTACCTC